GGGGGGCGGGCAGGGGTGGGTTACGGAAACAGAAGAAAAATCAAGTCATTTAACATTCTCAGGGGCCGCTCTCCATATGATCCCTGTCCTTCAGAAAACAGCCCACAGAAGTGTGAGCACGTGCACAGGCACACACCACACACAGGCGCACACACATGCACACAGGTCCATGTCTGGAGCCCAGGACCCCTCTCTGAGTGAGAAACCAAATTGGCTTACTTCCTCTGGAGAAGTCAGATCCTCCAGGTCTTCCAACATTTTCTCTACAAACTCTTCCGTCAACAGAATCTGGGAAAGAAGGCAAAAGGCAGGTTGTCATGTGAAAAAACACAGCCCTTTCGCCAACTGCCAAGCTAGGGACGTTTCTTTTAGCTCTGGAGGAAGGACGACCCACTGACTGGGTCTAGGGACAGAGGGAAGTACTTGAGGCTTCCGGAAAAAATTGCACATCCTCCAAGGCTCCCTCCCACCCCCACCTGCTTGTAATATTGGCTGGAGAAGGGCGGAGAGGTGGGGTGGGGCAGTGGAGAAAGACATGCCATCTGGAAGGTGGGCAGCGCTGGCCTCAGGAGGGGCTGGAAGGCAGCGGAAACCCACTTCTTTGGGCTGTTCGGCCCCCTGGACGTTGCAGGGCATCAGAGGGGACAGGAAAGCCGAAGGCCATGGGAGAGCCATGGCCAAGGTCCTTGCCTGATTAGGCTCATATACTCCCACCCACTTCGCCCCACCATGTAGGACAAAAGGAATCTGTTTGACTTTGGAATCCAAGCCCTGTCTGGGATGTAGATGTGCCCTAGTGACGGAACACAAGCCTAATAATGCGTGCAAAGTCCGGGGTTCCACCTCTACCACTGGGAGGATGGGAGAGCAGGTAAAAACCAAGAAAAAAAAATCTGTGATGTCCAGGACTGTCTAGTGCCACTATTTGCCTGCAATAACCACTATCCTTCCGTCCTAAGCAAGTTTTCTCAGCCAATGGGGCGTCCACAGCTGCTCAGAGCTCTGTCAAGCTGTTCAAGCTGATGGGCCACGTTTTCATCTGACGGCTCCCCAGGCTGCTCTGCTGGCCCAGGCTGAGCTGGCCCATGCTCTTCTTGCAGATTCTGACCCGTTCTACTCCACCCTCCCTGCCCTCGTCCATAGGGTCTCTCCACCTCTCGGGCAGACCCTGGGCAGTGCCCAGAGGGAGGAAAGGGTCAAAGTCAAATGAAGGGAAACCTCCCTTTGAGCAGGCTGGGAATCCCAAACTTGAGGAAATACCCATCAAGTTTCCCTTGGGAGCGCGCGGAGCATCCTGTAAGGGCAGGAGTTTCCGGACTGTGACCTAGAGAAGTGGCCAAGGAAGGGAAGAGCAGAGGGCCAAGGAGAGAAGGGGAGGCAGGAAGTGATGCACACGTGACAGGTGAGGAGGAAAGCTCTGGCATCCAGAACCATGCTGACTCTTCACACCTTATCTCCTTCAGTCTCCTTCCAGATGGGGAAACTGAGGCACTTGCACTGTGGGGCCAAAGCAAGACCACAGTCATGTCTTGGCCCAAAACCTGATGCCTTAGACTCTTAGGTGGAGGACACTGACTCAAATATTCATTCTTCTCTGAGGAGCAAGCCTATTTCCCACCCAACTAGCAGCTCCCTGGAGAAACAGGACCCGTCCTCCCACAACAGGAGCAAACAGCTCTGACCAGGAATGAGGGAGAGAGACAGAAGGACAGAGGAGAGAGGGGAGAGAGAGAGAGAGAGAGAGAGAGAGAGAGAGAGAGAACAAACAGTATAACAGTATCCAGGGGAGTGTCCATCCAAGGTACTTATTCCTTTTCCTCCAAGCTCCCCAGAGGGGGTTGGCTGGCTCTTTCCAGTCTGTCTGGCACTTTCTGGTCCTCAGCCACATCCAGTCACACCTGGCCTTCCTTCCTGGAGCCTGAGTCCTCCTCCTCCTATCCCATGGGTCCCCTCCCCCAAGCCAAGTTTCTCCACTGGTTATCACCAGTCTGCTTGAGTAATACAAAGTCACATTCATATTTTCGGCATTTCCGGGGCTTGTTGCCATCTCTACAAATGCTAGCGCAAACACAAGCATACCTCAAACCCAGTTATGGTACATATATATATGACTCCAGTCCCGGCCAGGCTGGGTTCATTTCTAACCCACAAATAACCCAGTACCGTAAATAGGTCTGGAACTTTGGCCCTGGAGTAAAATGGGCTGGGGGAGGGCTTCCAAGGACGGTGGCCACCCAGGGAGACTCCCTAGGGTGTTTTTCAACAACAGGAAAGGTGAGGCCACCAACAGTCCAGTGCTAAGCCAGTGCCCCTGTCAAAGGTCTGGAACTGGTGAGTTATGGCGGCTTTCAGCAGAGCTGCCACCGAGTGGGGCACCATCTGCGTGTGGACTTAATTTTGTACTCAGCTGGGGGAGGGGATGACGAGACCCCCAAAGAGGACAAATCCTAGCTGTTTCTTCATTTTCACTTTTGATGATTTGCTGGTTTCTACTGGAAACCACATTGTTTTAAAAGAATTAAAGGGGAAAAATTATACATGAGATCCACATGATATTAAGGGTGACATTCTCAGCAAAGAAACACGACAGACTGTCATAGCTCCAGGCACCTGATTTAATTTCCTTTGGGAGTTAAACCTTAGAAGCTTGGACTGAACAAACATGCCCTGTTCTCCGTATATTTCAGGGCTGGAGCTGAGAATGTTAACAGATCTTATCACAGGACACTGGAGATAGGCAGCTATGATGGACAAGCTCCTGGGAGCGCTCCCTGGGAACAGACTCGCTGCTGTGATGCCACTGTGGGAAAAGCCTGTGCAGGTCTAGGACTTGGAGCTCCTGCAGCTCAATGTCCCCTTGGAGGGACTGGCCAGCCTCTGCCACAGTAGCAGCAGGGCAGTGAAAATGACCAAGCGCAGGAGTGGTACCTGTCTCCTATGCAGACTGTGCTAAGGGCTGCCCTGTATCTCCTCACTGAAGCCTTTAGTGGACTTGCAAGGCAGGGGATCTAGTTCTCATGTGCAGACCATTGGGTCCTGAGAGCAGTGCCTGCCTGGGTAACGAGCATGCTCTTTTCCTGTTTGGAGACAGATCAAGGCTGACTTTTGATGGGGGTGGGGGAGGTAATGGTAACTCTTACCAATGGCCTGGAAGAACAGCACCCTCAACCTTAGCCAGGAATATATATGTTCTCATTTCAACTGGGCTGTGAGGTGAGATTTTGTTTCTGATCTAACAAATACAGCTTGCCTGGAGATCAGAGGGTGGAGCTAGCCACTAGTTAGCCATAGAGGCCAGGCAGTGGTGGCTCACACCTATAATCCCAGCACTTGGGAGGAGGACACAGGAAGATCAGCAGTTCAAGGCCACCCAGGGCTACACGAGATTGATCCAGTCTAAAAGAGGACCAGCCAGGTGGCGGAGGCTCACACCTTTAATCCCACCCAGCACTAGAGAGGTGGAGACAGTAATAAAAGGTGGGAGGAGACTGGAGCTCAGCCTCCTTTTTCCACCTGAGGATTCTGCAGAGGTGATACGTCTCTCTAGAGTCTCTGATCTTCCAGCATTCACCCCCATATCTGACTGCAGCTTTTTATTAAGAGCAGTCAGACTTTGCACTACAGGCCTGGAACCCGAGTATCACACACACAGCTGCTAACAAAAAATGAACCAGAAAAGCCTTCTGGGAAGGGAAGCACGCTATGTACCACCGAGCCCTCTTGCTGGTCTGAGTCCATACGTTATTTATTTATTTTCTTGGAGACAGGGTCTCTCTATTTAGTCCTGGCTGTCCTGGAACTCCCTATGTAAGCCAGGCTAGTCTCAAACTCACAGAGATCCTCCTGCCTCTGCCGCCTGAGCATTGGGATTAAAGGTGTAGGACAGAGAACCTCACTCTGAGTCCACACATTTTAACAGCTCCGCTAGCCCTGCAAAGAGTGGCAGAGATAATGACATCATTACAACAATTACCACACTGTTCTACTTGCACGCATGAAGAACTGGGACAAAACCCAAGGATTATGCACCAATAGTCCTCGGAGGGAGAAGACCCTCTAAGGATGGGAAGGGCCCCTGGACCAATATGAGTAACACATTCCCCTGGAGGGCTCTCACAGAGAATGTGGTGATGCCAGGCTACACATTCTCTAGAACTGTATACCCAAGGCAATGCAAAACATCTGAGTTTTCACAACACCCCAAGAGACCACAGCGGGAGGAAGCGCCAGGAAAGAGGTCCAGAGGAGGAGGACTGAGCATGGTGCTCAGTCCTCAGCGGCTGCAGCTCCACCTCGATCTGACTGACTGGAGAGAGGGTTTGGAATCCAGGCCCGGCCCATAGCTCACTCCAGTGGGCTCACATCACAGGCCATGTGCGCTACAGTCGGACAACCTGGCTTGGTGGTGGTGAGAAAGGATCGTCAACAACCTCTCAACTCTCCAGGCTCCAGCAAGTTCCAGAAAGGAACCTGAAAAGTGATCTTGTGTCGGTGCCTGTCCTGGGCAGGCCCAGCTGCGCTGCAGGCAGGGGCTCGACAGCTACAAATCTGGCACCCATGCCAAGGTCTGTGGTCAGCGGGCTTCTGAGTGGCTGACAATGCCATCCCTTCCCCTCGGTACGACGACAATCCACACTTTGTCTCGGGCCTTGTTTGCTCCTTGTGCTGACACGCTGTTCTGCTTCCCAGCAAGCCTGGCTTTCTTCCCTCCCTTTCCTTTTCTCCAGGAAGGAAATGTGCTCTTTACAGAGGCAGGGCCTGCCAAGGAACAGCTCTGGCACCCACGATGGCGGCGGCGAGGAAGGGGCTAGCAGGGGCTCCTGTCTGCTGTTCCCCTTTCCCCCACCTCAGGCAGACAAAGGCCAGAAAACAGCCTGCGGACGCTCCCATCCACGCTGGCCGGGAGGGCCCGTGAGCAGTGGGGCACTCACTCATTTCCTGCTCTGGGTGGGTGGTGAGAAGTTGGCTTTGGTGGCCAGAAGCAGAATCAGATTCCTGCTGTTGACACAGCAGGGAATTACAGTTTGCTTTAAACCTTAACAGGCAGAGGACTGGACAATGAGGTCTTGAGACAACCCAAGCCGAAGGCTCCAAAGGAGGCAGGTACAGCCAGGCCCCCCCATTAGGAGAAATGCTAGGCATCAGAAAGGGGGCTCCAGGGCTGGGCTTGGGACTCCCAGGTTGCCTTCTACACAGCATCAAAAAGGGTGCGTGGGACAGAGGGCAACCCAGGGCCTTGGCTGAAGGAATCCGAGGAGCCTGTTCCTGGGCTGGGGAGTTTAGCAGTGGGTTCCCAGCCTAGCTGGGACATCAGACCCACTGGGAACAGCTGTGAGGTGTCTTCTCCCAAGCCAGAGACCTCCCATTGGGCTGCTGGGGAGTGGCTGGGGCTAAGGGCGCCACCTGGGTGAGCTGTCACACACCACACAGCTGAGAAAGCATTGCAGGCCTGAAAAAAAGAACCTCGCTTTGGTGATCTGCCCTCTCGGTGACCTCTGGGACTGAAGCTTCCCGCCTTCAGGCTGCCCTGGCTAGGGAGGCTGAGGGGCTGACTCAGCTCTGGGCGGGGCTCTGCTCCGAAGACTGGCAGCACAGGGTCAACAGGCCAAGGGAGAAGCCTGCTACAGCCCCTAGTGAGGGGATGCTAGGGGCACGAGAGGCCACTGGCAGGCCTGTTCCAGGCTCTGGAGACCTTCTCATGGAGCTCTGGACTTGGCTTCCAGGCTCTATGATCTTGAGGGTGACATGAAGCAGGACGGATGAGTATGGCCCGAGCCGACTTCTGCCTCTGTAGCATCTCCTAATGTGTCAGTTTCCAACTACACCTGCCTTCTTCTTCAGGCCCTGGTCTCCCTGAGGTGGTAGAAAGTGAGGGTCCAGGTGGCAGCCCAGGATGAGGTGGGTATGGAAGCTTGTCTGAGGCCGTCCCACCAGCTCTGAAAAAGGGCTCTGGCTCTCTAGCCTCCCTTTCCCTCCCTCCCTTCCTTCCTTCCTTCCTTCCTTCCTTCCTTCCTTCCTTCCTTCCTTCCTTCCTTCCTTCCTTCCTCCCTCT